AGTACATGAGGACCGCAATGGTCAGAAACACCCCAAACGCAGCCAACACCAGCATTGCCACTTCTCCCTCATGCATTTTTCGTTTCCGTTTCGTCGATGATGATACCACTGTTTCGCTGCGCCACGTTGCAACAACCACCAACGGTGATTAACAACGACTCGTAACTCTTTTGTTGCCGATGGGCTTGGCCATTGCCCGCACCGATTGCCAGCGTGATGAGCGACGATCGAGCGCCTACATTGCGTACGCCGGTAGCGAACGGAGAGGCGAACGTTGCTGAGGATATGAGGAAAACTTGCAGATGTGCCGAGTATCGGCGGAACCGGCGCAAGCTTATTAACGCCGTTTGCAGCGAAGCAACCGTCCAGACTTGGAGGAGCGTTTCTCACCTGCATTTGGCACTCGAGCAAGTCTGAAAATAAGAAGTTCTCATTGTCGATCGACTAGTTGGTACTCTCAAGTTGACTGTCGTTCCAAGCCGTACCCTGAGGGAAAGAGGGATATCCAGCTACGGAGACTTGTTGCCTCGTTGCCCCCACAATCGATGAGATTAGTCGCCTCCTTGACTGCCGTCGCTGGTGAGGTGGCAAGTCGGTTTTATGCGTAACAGCTGACGTCCGCAACTAAGAAGCTCCTCACGTAGGCCTCCAAAAACTTCGCGGTTGCTGTCAGAATCGTAAATTATTTCCATCTGGTCATCGGCTCTAACGGACTGCAGCCAGATGTAAGATCGAAAGCGGTCGATGGTCGTCCGATTTGCGTCACTGTTTTTCTCGCTTTGTCCCTATGGAGGTGCCGTTGTCGCGCATGCTATTTGTTTCACGGCAATTGTTTCGTCGAATGCTTCCTTCGGAGTTCGTTACTTTTTTGAAGAGTAAGCTGGAAGGCAGCGAAACGTCTAGTATATTCCGTGCCACGTTACTTAGCCGAATGCCAGCGTTGTGCCAATAGTGCCTTGAACGACTGGCTCGACTGAGGTTGCTCGTCGGTAAGGTATCGAACTCAGTACCGAGAGGTCTCGGGTTCGAGACCGACCGAGTTATTCGATTTTAATCCCTTCAATGTAGAAAAATAAGTACTTCATCGTAGGACGGAAACAGAAGACTACACGTTATGGCAGTCACCGAGCTGTAGCTATATCCTTAGAAAAAATAAGATCAATATGGCACCTGTTTGCCTGAAGGCACAAAAACGGAAATGGACATTAGCGTTGAACCATGAGCTTCATGGAAAAGAAGGTGTTACAAGCGGTGCCCGGTCATGAATATGTGAGCCCGACATGGTAATGGACATAGTCATGGTAGTTGGTGGCATTCGTCGCATCACAGGTCTGATTTCTTTCCGTGGTCTGAACGAAGACGGAACCCTGACTGAGAGTGAAATTTTCAGTGCTACTCCTAATGACCGTGAAGCAGTCGCTTTCGGTTGAGAATTAGAAGAAGCTCAGAAATCGCTATACGGTAGCTTCCAAAAGACACTGGAATAACGTACAGAAGAGGCATATTTAATATTTAAAAAAATGATCTGATGTCACTCCAAGTCACACAGAGTCATTTCAGCCTGCTCATGAACGGCGGTGCCGTGCCCAATTTCCCCAAGAAGTCATCGACTACTAAGTTCCAGGTCATCTGCTTCTCGATATTTCACAGATACGCAAATGTTTCACTTCGGCAGCTTGATTAATTTCTGAACTTTGAAAGTAGCAACAATCCGAAAAACTTGACATCTTGAGTGACATGAACAACGAAAACTTTTACTTAAAATATTTGCACCCAGCAAATTCTTGTTTCTACGGGACCAGGTTTCGGCTGACTTGCAGCCTACTATATATTGACCAGACATCACGGCCGTGCGGGTCAAAGTTGCTGAGCACAATCGAGTCAGCAAACGAGCGGTCGCGGACCAAAAAACATTGCCAAAGTTGGAAGCAACTTCTGGCCCGACCGATCATCATATTGCAACTAGGCACCACATCGATTATCCGAGGCATGAGATCCGTTGCAATGGCATCGAATGTCTTTGAAAGGGTCTTGCTAGAAGCCCTCCTGTCCTGGACCGCGGGAAAAACCATAAATCGGGACCGTGAGCTAGAAATGACGAAAATATGGATCGGTCTACAGAAAAGATTTGCACGTCAAAGCCATTCCTGTCGAACGTTGAGAAACAAGGGGTCGTTCAGTTGGTACCAGTCGAAAATGCGACACCATTGCGAGACGAGATTGTCAAGACAAAGCCTGTTGACCACAACCTATATTTACATAATATTATTAACTGATGACATTTACAGTAGAACGTTGATATTCCTGACTAACTGTGGTTTGCCTCCCTCCGGATTATCACTTAACCGGATTTTCGAATCCCATAGCGAACCTAGTATCTTCTGTTCAGTAAATTAAATATACATACGTAAATATATCAGTATAGCTTTAAATAGCTATTATATTGAAAAACTATAAAGAAACAAAAAACTGCACTAGTCAAAGTCTTCAAAATGCGCCTACCTAGCGCTGTATTTCAAATTACATAAAGTATTGTAATTATTTATGGAAAAGTATTACATTGTTTCGTAAACAAGATTTGCGCTTCATTTATTGGGCAGCCAAGTCTCTAATCTCTCGTAGACAGGCAAGTTCAGTCGTTGTGCACTCTGATTGTTTTTCTAACCAACTCACAGCAGGCTCCAAAATCTTCGTTGTCGACGTCTTCTGCGTCATCATGATTCGCAGGAGTCTCGGTATTGGTTACAGCGTTAACAATTTCCTCATCATTCAGGATCTGGTAGCTGAGGTCAGTTTCATCGTTCTTCAGCCACTCGATCGCTTAGTAATTTTCACAAACTTCAAAACCTGGTATTGAGTTCAAAAGAGCCATAACTTCTTCCAAGACTGACCTCGCTTCTTCTTCTTCTTCGCGTTCGGGTTGATTTTCTTGCCCTTCCTCTGCTTTAGGTTAAAGTTTTTTCCATCCATTTTTCAAATTGCTTTGGGTCAGTCTGTCCTAGGCTACTGCAAGCGTTTCAACATCGTTCCTGAGGTTCAGTGCTTTCGTAAAATCCACAATACTTTCTTCCTCCTGCTATGCCATCAGCAGGCGGCGCAACAGCTTTTTCTGAAAATTTGTTTTATTTTCTCATTGATTCATTGGTCCGTGGGCTGGAGTAACGTTGGGGGGCAAGAACAGTACCTCAAAATCGTCGCCAATTGCGTTCAGAGTTTCAACTGGAGGATACGTCGCGGCGTTGTCAATAAACAGAAACACTTTGCTCATTCTGCCTTCCATTTCGCGCTGTCTCCTTACGCCCGGGTACAAATTCATTCACATAGCTCACATACCAGTCCCTGAAAATGTCAGCAGTCATCCAGGAATTTATTTGCGGCTTATGACACATGCACTTGACATTTTTGAAGCAGCAGGGTTTTCATCTTTGTCCAATAATCATTAACGGCAAAGAATGGGTTCTACTTGCATTACTACACACCATCACAGTTATTCTCTATTTACTCTCCTTGTAATCTGGAGCTGGTTGCTCTCGACCAGAAGCTAGTGACTTTCGCGGTAAGATCCGCCAGTTAACAACAGTTTCATCAGCGTTGTATACGCCATCCCTGCTGCATTCTGTTTCTCTAACTATAGCCGGAAACCTTTTTCTGCATGTATTCGCAGCGTTTAAATCACCTGATAGTTTTCCTCCATGAGTTTCGAGTTCTCTTATGTCAAGTCTTAGTTTAAACCTTCAGAACCATCCAGAACAAGCCTTAAAATCCGCTAGGCCGCCGAGTTTTCATTGAATTGGAGGGCCTTTCACAAACGAGAGGGCCTAATAACGGTTCAGCTGAACTTCTTCCTTGTGTAAACCACACATACATGACATCTTCTAAAGCTGAATAATTGGCCGTTCGAAATGTTTTACGTTTTCTGATCCCTCCTGAGAGTCCAAATTTGTTGCATACTCCAGTAAGCCGTCTTTCCTTCTTTCGAAAACACTGATGGCTGACGTCCGATGGTCCGAAGAAGCAGCGGCTGTACACATCAGCAGAACCTAACGAAAGATTTCTAGGCGATACGTTGTGCAAAATTATTTCTTGTCGTTTATGATCAAATTTTGGTCTTTGATGGCCCTGCTCATCATCGTTTCGGATACAAGGCTGGAACTTCGTATATAATTTTGAAACGTTGGTAATAAAACGATGAATAAAGAAATAAAAGTCACTCGTTCAAAATAAGCACAACAGAACGCGCGCGATTTTCAAGCTCGGTCAACAGAAGTTTACATTCACAAACGTAAACATCAGTAAACATTCACAGATGTACCGAAAGGCATCGAACACACGTACTGGTAGTCGATGAACAGACAATCGTTGTGGACAAATACCGTTTGACATTCGGCCTTCGCTTTGCGAATCCTGGCTTCAATTTCGAACTGATCCATTCGTTCCGGTAACAGAAAGGCGCCGGTAAGCGCCGACTCGTGTACGGCGGCCGCCAGCATACCAACCGTTGAAAGTCTTTTGCC